TCCATCTCGCCCACTGCGCCACTGCCTGCGCTGCCCCAAAGCTCTGGAACACCCTCAAGTAAATCCAAGCTCGACTATCTAGTACATCACGGAATTACGCACAAAACATGAATCGACTTTTTAGATGAACGGAGAGGGAAGATGGGAAGAAGTTAGAGGATGGCGGAATTGTACAAATATGAAACCAAAATCCGTTCTTGAGCACTGCATTGCATATCAGATCAGATCTCCATTTTTCACCGAACGCATTGCATGTAGTATAGAAAAGGAATCGTTATAGAACTGACTTTGGTTCTCTTTATGTTTTATCTTTGGTTTCTGGAATTTGTGCTTGGTTTTATACCTGCAAATCATGTTTGGATTTGAAATTCTTATCATTTCGGATCTTTTTCTTGGGTGACAAAGTAATCTTGTAATCACAAGCAAAACTCATCGACAAAAACACCTGTATACATACTCGAATGCCTAGGTACTCTCTTCAAACCTCTATCTCTCACGCGGGGTTTTCCTCAATTTGGAAAACAGATAGATATTCATACTTCGGGGCTTTGTATATATTCGGATAATGGATAATTGCATCCTGGTCTCGTCCCTGTTTTTGAATGTACCGTACCACGAGACCTTATCTTTTGGTCCATTCAGAGGGGGTGGAATGTTATGTGTACACTGTTTCTTACGTGCGAGCATGTGAGCTTCGATTGTACGGCCAATGATAATTGGATGTGACATGATGTATCAATATGGGTGATATGGATGTACACCATACACGAGACGATATACCTGAGTGAGGGGATGGAGGGTTGCATCCCCTTTTAGCTATCTAGTTTGTAGGATAAGTAGATAGGATACCATGATTTCTAATCTTCTTTGATATGAAGCTTGTATGCTGCTGCACGGCATACTTGTACTTGTTACTTCCTGCTCACGAAGTAGAATAGAAGAGGGAAATACTTCATTCATCGATCCTATTGATCGGCATCCCCTCTGTCTTAAAGTCCTACTCGTGCACCTGATACATCTCCACACCAGCGGAAGTCAAACACTCGGAAGATTTACTTAGATAACCGAATTCTAGCGGGCCCCGCCAAGCTTATCGTTGCGCGTAAGCTGGGTTGATTGGAAAGAAGAATGATGGAGGTGTCGACGCAATTGAATTCGCATGGATTGGAAAAAAGTGTAGATGAGAAAACGGAGAGGATTAGCAATAGCGATACGGATAGCGACGAGAAAATCCACAGTGACGAGGAAAAAGATCGGAAGATTGGATACAAAGAAAATAGAGGAGATAGCGCGGATAGTATCGAGGAATATACAGAGGATTTAGAGAAGGGGAGAGAGAAAGAGAAAGGTAGAGTGCCGGGACAAAATAAAGAGGAGGATCTGGGAATTGGAGAAATTGGAATAATTGAGAAGGAGGGTAAGGAGAGGAATATCGAGAAGGAGACGCCTCATTACCACGGTATGCCAAAAGGCTGGACGGCAATGAAAGATCCACGCGGGAAACCGAAACAGAAGTCTAAATATACGGCGGGGGAGAGAACGAATGGGACAAGTGCGCAGAGGGGCATGTCGAATACGGAGATAGCGAGGGAGCAGGAGATTGTGGGAGAGGGGAGAGGAGTAGAAGAAGAAGTTGAGGATATAGATGATTTGGATTTGACGGAATTGAATAGCGGGGATGATTTATTGCCGGATGAGGAAGAAGGGGGAGTGAGGAGGGGTGGAACCGGTGTGGATGGAGCTGCAGATGAGGGATTGCGGAGAAGAAGTTCGGAGCGCAATGCTGTGGGTTCAAACGCGGGGAACTTTAGGGTGTATAAGAGGAGGTGGTTTGGATTGGTACAATTGGTTCTTTTGAACATTATTGTTAGCTGGGATGTAAGTGATACTAGAGAATTTCATATTGTTTCAACTACATTTTGACCACGTTCTGGGGAGATTCATCATGCTGTGTCTAGTGTTGTGGTTGAAGATGTGCGAATGTGCTAATGTGGATTCGTACAGTGGTTAACCTTCTCTGCGAGCTCGACGACGGTTTCGCAATATTACGATGTCTCCGAGTCCGCGATTAATTGGCTCAGTACCGCTTTTCTCTTTGCATTCGTGCTGGCTAGTCCGTTTGTTATCTATGTACTTCATCATGGAGGACCTAAACCTGCTATTGTCATTTCATCCGTCCTTTTGCTGCTGGGGAATTGGGTACGCTATGGGGCTACACGATCGGGTCCGCATGGAAATTTTGGAGGAGTTATGTTTGGACAAATCTTGACGGGAGTCGCTCAACCATTTGTGTTGGCAGCGCCGACGAGATATTCGGATTTGTGGTTTACGAATCAAGGAAGAGTGGCTGCGACAGCGGTGATGAGTTTGGCTAATCCTTTTGGAGGCGCATTGGCGCAATTAATTGATCCATTCTGGGCGGGAAGTGTGGGGAGTATCCCGAATATGGTTCTTTATATCTCCATTATTGTAAGTTCGAGACATTACCTCTGCTTCTACTATGCTAATTATCATATAGTCCACCATAGCGACCATCCCATCCTTCTTCACCCCCAAAGAACCACCCACGCCCTGTTCCGCATCCTCAGAAGAACCAAAACATGCCCTGGGCGCCTCCCTTCGCTTCCTCCTCCGCTCCCCTGAATTCTACATGATGATGTTCCCCTTCTGGTTCTACGTCGGCCTCTTCAACAGTATCTCCTCCCTCATCAACCAAATGCTCTCACCATATTCCTTCTCCGAAACCGACGCCGGCATTGCCGGCGCCCTTCTCATCGTCGTCGGTCTCGTCGCTGCCGCCGTCACCTCCCCCCTCATCGACCGCACCAAATCCTACCTCCTCGCCATCAAAATCCAAATCCCCATTCTGGGAATCTGCTACCTGGCTTTCACCTGGGCGCCCCAGACTCGCAGTCTCGCGGCCATCTACACCATTCTGTCGCTTCTGGGCGCGGCGAGTTTCAGTTTGGTGCCCGTGGCCCTGGAGTATTTAATCGAGATCACGCATCCGGTTTCGCCGGAGGTGACGAGCACGATTGGTTGGTCCGGGGGGCAGTTGCTGGGAGGCATCTTTATTATTGTGAGTGATAAATTGAGGGCAGGTGGCGTTTCGGATGGGTCTCAGGATGATGGGAGTGTGCGGCCGCCCGGGAATATGTATAATGCGTTGGTCTTGCAGGCGGTGTTGGCGTTGGTGGTAGTGCCGTTGGCGTTGGCGCTGGGATGTTGTGGGCGGGGAAGGGGGGTGCGAATGAGGAGGGTGGAGGCGGATAAGGTGGCTAGTGGCAGGAGAAGGGGAGATACGGATGTGGATGCAGATGCAGATGCAGATGTAGGGGCAGAGGGTGGGCAAGGTGTACTTACGTAGGGGTTTACTGTATTGTATATGCTGGTTCACATTGATTTTGTTTTTGAAAGGGAATAGAAGCTGGGAATAATATCTGGATACCAGTTCCAGATCCCAGCTTTGGTGTTTTTGGTCTCTGGATACATGAAAACACATCTATCTTTGGATAGCAAAGCAGTAGATAAGAATTTCTGTATTTGGATTTGGATTTGAATGTCCCGAATACAGTTATCGAAATGAGAACTTCAAATTTACATTTTTTTATATTCATTTCAGACCCAATGATTTGAAAAAAGATAGTGTATTTCTTGAAGTGAGTGCTGATACTGATATGGATATAAATCTACAATCCCCTTTCCTTATTCGTGATACAGATTCCAGAGATAGATACAAACACGTGAGTGTATGAAAAAATCTCCTTTCTTATTTCCATCATATTGATTAGATTTTTTTCTCTGAGTCTGGTGGAGAGGTTGTTAGATTTACATGTAGGTATATATGTACATGGATCTATAATTATAAACCTCACCTGGGCAAACCTCAAATCTCAAACCTCAAACCTCAAACCTCAAACCCAGCACTCGAGAAATCAAAGCCTCGAACCCACCGCCCCCTAAATACAGTATACTTCGTTTCGCTTCGCTTATGAATCGATATCTATCTATCTATCTATCTATCCATGAACATCTAAATCTCTTTCCACTTCCACTTCCACTTCCACTTCCACTTCCACTTCCGCATCTACTTACAAGCAACTCCACAACTCCGCAAATCCGTGGAATCATCACAGTACCAAACCACACTGTGAACTCATGAACTCGTGAAATTCATACCTCCATAAAATGCAGACCCCAATCCAGTATATGTTGAAATCCACAGGAGACTCATTAGGGAATTGCGAATGCTTAGGTATGGACTCATGGAGTGGAATGTGTCTGTGATATATCTAGCTATTTTGCTATGCTTGTGACTTGTGACTTGTGATTATGGTTGGATAGTAGGTAGGTGGGTGGGTTATGTAATCGATCGTTTGTTCGTTGGAGGGGAGGATATATATAGATATGCGATTTGATCGAGACAAAAAAAAGAGATTAATTAACTTTGCTCAACGATCAAGAAGGAGAAAGAAGAAGAAGAATATGTGGAGAGTGTTGAAAGGGTGCTTGAGAATAGGAGATTCCAGTGCAATGCAATCCTTGTGACTTTAGCAGCTCATCGCATATCCATAATGTACCGGTATCCATCTGGTTCCCAAGCGATGTTGAAACTACTAGGTATCGATTGAGAAAATCCCAAACTGTTGAGAATCCTTTTAAAAAAAAACAGAAGCGTGGAAAATTGGAAAGGGGTATAGGGAATGAGATCAATCAGAAGATGACGACAATTGCAGCAAAAAAGGAGATACTAAAGATATCAAGAAGCAAACAAAAACACATTTTCAACGGGTATCTAACTTGAATCTCTCAAATGAAGAAATAAGCTATATATGGAAATTTCCAACTCTTTTTTGTCATTTCTTGCTACCAATATGCTCCTTGTGCAATATGATCGACGGACATCTCGTCTTTGTACTCCTTTAAATCAATTATTTTCCTTAGCAAAAGCTCCCATCAACCTTTCATTAGCCTAGCGCTTTACTTCTTCTATTCCCTCCCTAAGCTTTAACTCTCTCTTGATATGCTTCCCAAGCCTTCCTCCTGTATCTCTCCGCCTCCCACTTTGGATCTCCAGCGCGAATAATACCTCTTCCTACAATGACAATATCACAACCCAACCCTACCAATTTCGATGGAGTATTATACTGTTGCCCCTTTCCATCACCCTCCAATTCTGCATCCTCATCATTCTCAGGCGGTAATTGACATCCGGGAGTCATACTAATAAAATCGTCATCTGGATCCGTATTTAATGTTTCCTGAGAGATGAATCCCATGACATAATCCTTATGTTCCCTCGCACTCTCCACACATGCATTCGTATAATCCCTCGTCATGAAATTTCCTGCACTACTCATTTGTGCTAATATCAAAAGCCCTCTCTCCAAAGGCGCCTCATCGATTCCCGGGTATGATTCTTCCTCAATATCGAAATCGATGCGCGAGCGTGGCGAGTTGGCTGGTTCGAAATGTTGCGACACGGTGGTGATAGAAACGATACTAGCTTTTCGTCCAATATTGGCCTCATCGTGTGCCTCTAATCCATGCGAACCATCTGTGACTTCATTGGAATTGCTATTCAGATTTATAGGAGTGGTGATTTGATCTTCATCGCTTTCAATGCTTTCGGGTCGGGGGGTTCCAACAGATATATTCGTCTTGACTTCATAACGTTTGCGCTCTCTCCATCGTGCTGCTGCTTCGGCCAAGGAATCGACGCTGGCTTTCCCAGGTATCATGTTGACATTTGTGATATGCGACCACTCGATGATCTTGGCAGTGCCTTCGGTATATTGTAATTGCACGGTATTTCCAATGTCACCGAATTTTCGGTCTTCGAATATGAGGAATCCGTGACGACGTGCGAGTCGGTTGAGGCGCGCTCCTGTGCCTGTTGTTGGGTTATAGTCCCAGTTGTTGATGAGATCATAATGGGTTTTCAAGACGACGATGGATGGACCAACGGAATCTGCCAATCGGAGAAGTTCGCCGGCGGTGGAAACATCGGCACTGACACAGAGATTTGATTGCTTGAGGGTCATGAGACGGAGGAGGTAGGCTGTTAAGGGGTGTTTTGTCTTGGAACCTCGATCCTCGAATGAGGTTTTCGCAATAGGATTGAGGGCGGCTGGAGACATAATGAAAAGATGTTCTGTGAGATCTTTCTTTCTTGACTATTACTGCTTCATTCAAGGATTGAAAACAGAAAGGAGAATAAGGAGAGAGAGCGTGGGAGAGAGAGAAGGGGGAATGGAATTTATGTCGGTATTTTGTGGCCTGTACTTTTGTGTCGAAGTCTTAAAGATTTAAAATTAAATTTAGCGATAATTCATGTGCATCAAAAGTAAAGTACCTGAATATCGTACACAGGACCATTTAACCTGCTACTACCCAGTCAAAACGGTATTGACCCCTTGCCACAATGAATAATAAATAGATCGATAAATAAATAAATAGTAATTCCTTAGTACTTGCATTCATCAACGAAAGGGGGAAAAAGGAAAAGACATCAGGTCAAAGGAAGCTAGTCGAGAGTCTTATCCTTCTTCCACATCTTCCAAAGCCTGCCGGGCTGAAGTCATTGAATCATGAAATGCATTACTAGATATTTACCTAGGGAGGATTAGATATGTATCTAGGCAAGATTAGATATGTATCTAGGCAAGATTGGATATCTATCTAGGCAAGATTGGATATGGTATGGCACGGTATGATATATGGTAGAGTATATATACTACATAGGTAGATAGTACTCAGTATAACAATCGGTATATGTATATCAATCATCTATCTACCTTTGAAGGCATTTTGTTTTCTTGGTTCCTTTTACAGCAATCTTAACTGAGTTTGGAACATCCAAAGAATGTTTAATTATACAGTTGATGGTAACAATTGTGTACAGAATGCCCAGGTAGGTATATTCTCTTCTCTCTAGACAGTACTAGACTTGTATAAGAGATCCTTCAAACACTTCAGACCCTTCAAATCCTTCAAATCCTTCATCTTCGTCCTGCCTAGTCATACAATTATAGTTTAGTCCATATCTGTGTCATTCTTGTCTAGAATCCAAGAGCTACATAGATCTGAGACCTGTTAAACTTTGTGCTGACTATTTACCCGTTGTCAGTGCACAATCGAAAGGTTTTGTGAGAATAACTGGGGAAACTACTTTCGGAACCATAGGAATGGGTTCCTGTTGATGTTCCGTTTGGATAGTCTGACTTTGGGGGTTTCTTGGCTGAAATTTTCTGGTGTGATGGTATCATGGATTGATGGTAGGAGGGGAATTTCATTTGCAACTGGGTTCGGATCACAAATACAAACAAAGTATGGAAGTATTAGACATAGAGCGGCACTCGGAATATGTCTAAGCCGGAATAAGTTATCAAAACACAAGATTACATCTATCTTACATCTATTCCATCTTATTTACATACAGATTATCATTTGGTGAATACCGAATACTGAATACCTAGTCATTCAATCCCATTCTCATGTCTATCTACAGAAATCATTTCTTGTCAAAGTCAAGGATATTCTCTATCTCTTTTCCTCTTCGGAAACCTCTCTCTTCTCACTCTCCCATCATCAAATTGTCAATCAGTGCACCAACAATGTCCACTTCCAATCAAGCAATAGCCCTCAAAAAGCAAATTGAACTTCTCCAAAAGAAATACACCGCATGTGATATTGCAGATGCTCTTGTCAAGCTCAAAGTACCCGGTGCTGGTTTCCTTCCCGACCTCAAACCTGCCTTTACTTCAACATCTGAATCTTTCAACACCATTACTATTGCTCCTGTTTCAACTGTTATTTTTGCCGCAAAAAATAGCACAGATCTCTCTAATTACCCCACCGCAAACATTCCCACTGATAAGCATTGGGTCGATCTCACCGTGTCTGACTCGATCGTGATTATCAGTCAACCCGAGGGACAAAAGAATGCCGTGCTAGGTGGAATCATGGCGATGAGGGCTCAGGTTCTTGGCGCAAAAGGTGTGGTCGTTAGTGGAAGGGTCAGAGATCTTCAAGAGTTAGAGGCTACTGGAATACCTGTCAGTTTTTGAGCCATTTTTCTCCCATCTAAGCTTTAAGGGTCCTCGTGGAACCCCGCATGCTCCCCTTTACTCTTCGCCAAGATCACCTAATCCCAACTATCAAGTTGTCAAAGATGCTTCCCTCGATTTCCAAATTTTGCTAATGAGTCCCGTAGGTATGGTCCCGTGGCACATCAATTGTTGGGGCTGGTGCTGAATCCAAGGCCCACGCTGTTCAAGTGGCGTTGAAAATTGACGGCACAGACATTCACCCTGGAGATTTAGCATTTTGCGATCCCGATAATGGCGTTGTTATCATCCCACAAGGAAAGATAGCCGATGTTATCTCTATTTTGCCAGACCTTGTTGCAGCGGATGATCGTGTAAAAGAAGAAGTCATGAAAGGAATGTCGGCCCAAGAAGCATTCAAAAAGCATCGAGGATGATAGTTTGTTGAAGTTTCATGCCTAAGACACTGTAGTTGCTATATTTTATTATACGTTGTTATCTTTGGTTGCCATGATGCCATGCAAATAGAAAGGAAACTTGGGCTGCATTCTTAGACAACCTCGCGGTTTTTGGTCTGGCTACTTTCACGATAGTATCTTAGAAATATAGAACACATGCGACGACCTCGTCTAAACATGGTAGTTTAGGGGAATACAGTTCTTTGTAGAAACTACAATCGTTTAAATACGTTCACTGAGTAAGCTCCTGCACAGAGTCATCCCTGATCAAGCTGGTCATTTGCCCACTTCCGTTTCAACCCTTCAATGTTCTCAGATCTGTATCGTATCATTGAATCCTGGTAGTGGAAAGAGACGAGAATATACAATAGAGCTCTGCTCGATTAGTAGAACATCAAAAGTCTTGAGCGGGGAAAATCTTCGCGAATTTAAAGACTTGGCTGGAGGAAAATAGCTGATGTACTTGGCTCGATTCATTGGTAGACCGTTGGAATCCAGAGGGGTGTACGAAGCAAGCAGACTACTCGACGTACACCTGAATATTCATGAAGATTAGGAGCTTGGTAAATCAGGATTGAAGCCATTTACTAATCCTCCCGGGCAGTTGTGCGAATATCTCCTACGGACTCATAATAATGTACCAGCATTAGGCACGGATAAGATATACCGAGAACATAGGGTACAGACTACCGGATTTCCTTTTCGAGCGTACCGGAGACGCATGCTTGCATGATCCAGGCATTGAAACGGTACAAAGCAAGGAAAAGGTAGAGATCATCTGTTTCTTTCTTTCAAGGCAATCTCAACTCGTTACCTTTTTCTCCAATCCATCACGTTTCCCATCATCCAAAGCATCATAAATATGGCCGCATATTTCCACCTTTTTCTTCTCTTGCCGTGTGCAACAGGCTGCCATCACTTCCACATTGCACACATTATGCATCTGGAATGCGTGTTACTGCCGTTAGATGTTAGAAGACCATCATGACTTCTGTTCCATGAGCAGGATTCTCTGCAAACGGAGCATGCTGCAAGAAAACGGCAGGCATCTCTTGCTTTTGGACGTAGATGTCACAGGAGACATACGAGATATATGTTCCGTTCTTGCCGAACCATTCATAGCTGGTATTCTTTCCTGCCATGAAGGTACCTGCTTCCAACTAGCTGGGATGAATAATCGTTTACGATACTGATCGGAACTGTCATAATTTTCCTCCTTAAGAAAATTCAGTTTGTTTGACAATAGAAATATGGTGGTTACTGTCTTGAATTTGCCATAATTGGTGTGTACTCTTATTAAGTAACAAGACTTTTTGAGGCAATCTCTATATTGGATTTTTGCTCATTATTCCTTCAAGTGAAAATAGTCTGGTTTGTGGAAGATATAATGGTATGAAGTTTTCCTATGCTTTGGCCATCTACAAGGATACAAATTTGCAGGAGATTTTGTGTGGGTTGCAGAAGGCAATCGAGTTCAAACATCCGCAGCACCTGAGTTCCTTCCATCTCATCTCATCTCCTCCATCTACCCCATTCCCCAGAGTCAGAGCTTAAATATAGCAACTTCTCGAATGCAAAGCAACACGCTGGACGTACGAAACCTAAGGAGTTCCTGCTAGTAGAAGAGATATCAGTCCACAATCCCCAAACTTGCAATCCGATATCCTAATCTCAGACAAGCAATACAAGACAGAATAGAGTATCAAAGAGACGATACTCACAAAAATCACCACTAGTAAAATACCAATTTCCAAGCTTCCTGCTCGAGAACCGAGTCTGCTACATCGGGATGTTCGATCTATTTTTGGAGTATGTTAGATTTCTTATCGCATTTCATTTCCTTCCCCTTCCCCTTCCCCTTCCCCTTCCACACAAAAACAAAGCAAAATGAAAATACACACCTTCAACTCACTACGCACCCTCATCACCTCCGCCACCGTCCCTCCAAATAAGCTCTTCCCCTCTTCTATTTCTCTCTCCTTTTTTCTCTCTTCTTTTCTCGCTGCTTTGAGATCTTTCTTCGCTTTCTTGCGGAGGGCGTAGAAGAGAAACGGAGAGGGTGTTGTGGATTCTGCGTGAGGGGTTGGGGGGTTGTGGTTGTTTCTGTGGGTTTTTGGTTTGCTGGATTGGATGGAGGTGGTGCTGGAGATGGGGTGTTGGGGTTGAGAGGCGGGAGGTGAGAGGAGTTTGGGGGAGGGGGAGGATGGTCGGAGGGTCGTTGCTGTGGTTGCAAGGGGGGAGAAAGATGGGTTTGTTAGGACGGTCGAAGTGGTGATGGTGGTTATTTGGAAACGTGTATTTGGAATTCGGAGGATAGCGTGTGATTATTTAGATTTGATGCGGAGGAAGAGGATATTCAGAATGTATGAGTGTAGGTGAGAACTTGAAAATGGAGTTTTAATTAGACCGGTCGAAGTTTTTGGGGTATCAGAAATTGAGGGGGACTGGATGTGCGAGAAGTCACTTTAATAATTCAGACTTCACTTCAAGCAGAATAGTGTTCATGTTCATAATACAGACGATAATGATACTTGGATATCTTGTGGCATTTCTCTATAATATATGATATATGTAATCTATCCAGCCGCGAGAGCCAACCCCTCCATCCTCCTTCTTAAAGTCGAACTCTGTTCT